GTTTCAATTCCATTCCACCAAGAGGCAAAGCTGGGGGACTCTCGCAAACAGGCAATGGCAAGGCTTATGCAAATGGGAAAGAAGTTTCAAAGAAACCCAAAGAACTGGGCTGCATACAACGAATTCATGAAAGAATACCTTAAGATGTGACATATGGAATCTGTATAGACAACGAGTCAAGGTAAATACTATTTACCCCATCAAGCAATCATCAGGCCTGGAAGCTTAACTACGAAGCTACGAGTAGTTTTTGACGCATCCGCAAAGACGACAAATGGACTAAGCCTAAATGACGTTATTATAGCTGGTCCTAAGATTCAAAAGGATATATTCGATATTCTAATTAAATGGCGCAAGTGGCAATATGGTTATGGTAGCTGACATTGAAAAAATGTATCGCCAAATAAAGGTTGCTGAGAAAGACCAAGAATACCAATATATCATATGGAGAGATGATCCAAAATTGCCGATCAGTGAGTTTAAGTTAACAACGGTAACTTATGGCACCTCGGCAGCACATTTCTTAGCACTCCGATGTCTACGAGAGTTGGCAGATCGCTTTTGCCAAGAGGATAGCGTCTTAGCAGAAACAATAAGAGACGACTTTTATATGGATGACCTCATAACTGGTGGAGACACAGTCAACGAGTGCTATGAACTTCAAAGGAAATTGAGACAAGTGATGGAAAAGGCCGGCATGCATCTGCGAAAATGGGTTGCAAATGACGAACGTATTTTAGCCGACATTCAGGACGACGGTGCTACGGAGAAAATCTGCATTGAGGAGAATGAATCGATCAAAACCTTAGGACTCCAATGGGATCCGAAGAAGGATACATTTACGTTTTCGGCAGAAAACCCAATGCTAACACGCATAACAAAGCGGTTAGTGTTATCACAGTTGTCCAGAATTTTCGACCCACTAGGATGGTTGGCACCTGTAACGATTCAAGGCAAATGTTTCATTCAGGAACTGTGGAAGTTACCGATGACTTGGGACGTTGAATTGGAATCCAACTTAGCAAACTGGTGGATGGAATATGCTAAAGGTCTATAAGATTTAGAAGAAATTAGCATATTCACGCTGGACTGGATGCTCCAAAGGTATTATGGAGCTACATGGATTCTGCGATGCATCAGAGAAAGCATATGCAGCGGCTGTGTATACAAAAGTAGGCGGCAGAGTTACTTTGCTAGCAGCAAAAAGCAAAGTAAATCCTATAAAAAACAGGAAAACAATTCCAAAGTTGGAATTATGTGCTGCGCATTTATTAACAAAGTTATTAGCGAAGGTGCAGGCTATATGGAGCAACAAGATCACAACGCATGCATGGAGTGATTCGCAAATTACTATTGCTTGGATACAGAACAAGCGCAGCAAAGATAAGTTCGTCAGAACTAGAGTGGAAGAAATCATTAAACTAATTCCCAATGTCAAATGGAATTACGTTAAGTCGGAAGAAAATCCAGCAGACGTGGCTTCATTAGGGATATCACCGCAAGCTCTTAAAATCTGTGAAATTTGGTGGAGAGGGCCGAATTGGCTAGCTACAGGTGCACAACACTGGCCCACTCAAAAGGAATCGGAAATCCGAATATCTGCAAAATCATCTTTTATCTTTTATCTTTTATCACATCTTACGGTGGAGAAATTAAAGCTAGCGAAGATTGCCGTGGTAAAGATACAACAACAGCTGGATTTTGGACAGGAAGTCAGACTACCCAAAAACAAAAGACCATTAGACCCAAAGAGTATATTACAGGCGCTAAATCCATTTTTGGATAGTGATGGCGTACTTCGAGTTGGTGGACGACTACAAAACGCAATGATACCGTATAATGTAAAACATCCAATTATACTGGATAAGTCACATTTGACTTGGTTAATTGCAAAGGATGCTCATAAAGAAACTCTGCATGGCGGAATTAATATTATGAGAACTTATATTCAGAGGGAGTTCTGGATATTTGGCATACAAAATTCCTTAAAGAAATATTTAAGGGAATGTATTGTATGCATACGATACAAGCAAGAGATGTCCAGTCAACTGATGGGAAATTTACCAGTTTATCGAGTAACGGCTGCTTACTCGTTTCAAAATACTGGAATCGACTACACCGGACCGTTCCAGATTCGCTGCTCAAAGGGAAGAGGTCAAAAAACGTATAAAGGATACATTTGTGTATTTGTTTGTATGGCAACAAAAGCGATACATCTGGAAGCTGCTAGCGACCTTTCGTCAGACAAATTCCTGGAAATTCCTTCGACGGTTCTTTGCAAGACGAGGCAAGAGTGAGAACCTATACTCAGATAATGGAACAAACTTCGTGGGAGCTTCAAGAGTATTGGACAAAGAATTTGTAGCTGCCATTAAAAACAATAATGAGTTAGCACCTACACTAGAAAAAGAAGGCATCAAGTGGCACTTTATTCCCCCGGGAAGTCCCCACATGGGAGGTTTATGGGAAGCCGGTGTAAAATCAGTGAAGCATCACTTTAAACGAGTTATTGGTGAAAACAGCTTTACATATGAAGAATTTGCATCGCTGCTATGTCAAATCAAAACTCGCGCCCATTAGTCACTGTAAGGAGCGAAAACGATGGTAAGGACATATTAACGCCGGGTCATTTTCTGGTGGGAAGACCTCTAATTGGAGCTCCTGAACATTTTGAAGAAAGTAAGACAATCAGCTCTTTGGATAGATGGAAGCTTATTCAACGCATCAGAGGTGATTTTTGGAAGAAATGGAAAGAGGAGTATCTGGTGTCATTGCAACAGCGAACCAAATGACGCCAAGTAAAGCCAAATCTGAAGGAGGGACAGCTGGTTCTTATAAAACATGAGAACACTCACCCTGCAAGATGGCCAGTGGGAAGAATCATTAGTACGACTAAAGGACAAGTCCGGGTAGTCACGGTTAAAACAAGCGATGGGGAAGTAAAAAGATCGCTAAACAAGATCTGTCAACTTCCTGTTAGCGAAGCAAAACCAGCTGGAGCTGCAACGCATAAATGAGAGACGACTACTGGCCGTACATTTTTCCCCCCCGGAGAATGTCTAAATATGTGTTTAGACATGATAAGTAGGCAAACTATAAATATGTTCTATTTATGGGCTGCAATAAACATGTCACGGGACAGCATAAGTGGCAACTACAGATAAGTATGATTGCAGCGGTCTATTGCCGAAGTGTCAAGAGATATGATCACACAGCTACTGGAAGTGCGAACGAGAAATTTCAACATTTACTGGAATATCGGTAGAAATTGGGAAAAAAAATTATTAAAATAAAAAAAACTTAAAATTTAAAAAAAAAAGTTTTTTGGCAAAATTATAGAAATTTAGAAGATATATAAAGAAATGATAAAACATCGCAACTTTTTTTTAAACGTGTGGGCGAGACAGTTTTATGCGGTTTGTCGCCCTTAGAGTGGGCGTGCCAACATTTGGAAACAAACTTGCGCTGCGCATGGAATATCCATGCTTAATGTCAATATTCTAGCTTATGTAATTCCTGAGATCGAGGCGTTCATACGGACAGACGGACATAGCCAGTTCAACTCGGTTATTGATCCTGATCAAGAATATATATACTTTATATGGTCGGAAACGCTTCCTTCTGCCTTTTACATACTTTTCAACGAATCTAGTATATATTTTTCCAAAGTTTTGATTGCGTTACTTTGAGCAATAAGGCTTTTTTGACGGCTGCTTATTGACGCGCACCATTTATTTCTCATTCTTTCTTCGGAAAACTCGAGATTTGCCTAGATCGGAATGAGGTATCGTTGCCTTTGGTTAAACGAGCTTGCTTGTCCTGTTTCGATTAGTATAGCAGCTGCAGCTGTATCATGGGTTATTATTTTTGTTTTTAGACTCAATTTTATCTAATAATATTTCAGATCCCCTTCCCTCAATAAACTAAATTCTAGTTGTGAGTTTTATCAGGTCGCCTATAATGGCTGCATAATCTAGCACCGTCCTTGCCGGTCCTTATAAGGATGACCACCGCTAGGTAGTGCTTCCTGCTTTGGTGATAGGGTTCGCAGACCGCAATGGACGTTTGTCTCCAGGAGACAAAGATTTCCAGTTTTCCCTCAAAGTCTGGGACAAATTTAAAATTATTTAATGGTTCATCGCATTTGACTTCACTTGAAAAAGTAATCTCTTAATAATTTTCTGTTTGAGGCGTACTTATTGTAGTGTTAATATTTTGATTTCGAATAATTTTAAGTTTTGCCTCGAATTCTTGGGCTTTCTTTCTTATAGTCTTTCTCTCAGTAATACAGTCAAACTATACGCTGCCTTCTTGCTTAAAACCAATCGTGGTGCGATTCTTTGCTAAGTATAGCGTCCTTTATTCGAGTTAGTTGTCCTTGGCTAGTTGTTGAGACTTTGTCTCGGAAGATACCGACAGCTCTGTCTTTAGTATTCCACGTTCACACTATTTTGTCGTCTGACATGGGAAAATTTAAATAACACTACCACCAGTGGAGTATCTTTTTTTTCAATTTCTTGCAAAGGCATAATTATATAAAAAGTGAAAACTATTAACTGCAGTGCCAGTTTTTAAACTTTTCGTTACCAGTTTATATGTTTATTATTCCATTTCATTTTAATTTTATTTATTAAATATATATTTCGAGGAGGTAAGGATTACAATATATTATATTAGTAATTAGTTAGGTAGACTTTTGAATTAGGATTTTTTGTTTGAATTGTATGGGCTCGTTAGAGCTTTCGAAATTCCGTTAGGAGACTACCCAAAACTACTACTACTTGGTTCTAAGCAGCGCTCTTAGCAGAACGCCGTGTCAGCTTCCTTGTTCAGACGATATCAGTAGCGGTACGAACGGGTACGTCTTACATTTATGGTCATTTCCTTAGCAGCACTGTAAAATGGTTTTGTTTGTTACATTTAATGATTAATTTTTAATATAATTCCTAATATTTAAAATTATTATTATTATAATTTTGTATTCAATTTATATTATGCAGCATTTGTGGCCTCCACAAATTCGTCATACTCACAATGGTACAGTAAGGCTGTTGTACAAACAAAACATGAAGAAATTGTTAATGGACTTTCTGCATCTTTTGAAACTGCTCTACAAATTTATCATGAAAGGAATGGAAAACTCCCCGAAAATGTTATAATATACAGGTAATGCACACATAATCATAAAATATTACAAAATCGGCTAATATGTTTTTATAATATATGTATACTACAACATACAAAAAAAAAATCTGATGTAAACTTTTGTAAATTCACCCTAGAGCTCCGTAAATATCCTGGATTTTCAATTTTACGAAAAACCCATTCAACCAAAGCAATAGGAATTGGTGCTGTACAACATGAAAACATTTAGAGTTTTAAGCAGTTTTACGAACTATTTCGATACTATCTGAAAGGTTATCGGATGAAATAACGCAAGTATTTGATCGGAAACATACTTTGGCCAATTTCTTAAAATTATTTTATTCAACTTATTTAATTCATAACTTGTGCTTTATGACTAAAAAATGTTTGAAATGTGGACTCCGCGTTGGAAAATTTTTTGAGCAGTATAGCAAAATCGAACGCTTGTTTTTAAAGCTGAATAAAACAGCCTGAAACAATTAAGTTATTTGTGCGGAGCACCGATAAAGGTGTTTAAAAGGTTTTTGATGCTTTATGAAAATGATGTATTTATGCATTTGTCAAATTCTTTAATGATCGGCTCTCGTTGCCGCACAGCTCACCTAGATAACATGATGGAAATCGCGGTAGATGCTGTAAGAGAAGATCCATAGTTGGAAAATATGGGGTAGGCCGAAGTAGTCGGGGCTGGGTTTCACCTGAGCTCCGGCTCTAGAGCTGAGGGCAGCGTTTGCTGCCAATGCAGGTCTATGGGAGATTCTGTTGTTCTAAGCAACAAGGTCTCGTTCGCGTAGCAAATTGTAGCTAGAGTGATCGTTGTGTTGAAAAAGAAGGGCGGAGGTTCGAAGTAAGCGTTTTCAAGTTGGTGATGCGAGATTTGGTCCGGCGGCGCAAGTGAGTGGGCGCGTGCAAGAGCGGCGGTCGGTAGAGGGGAGACTGAAGGTGCATGGGGAAGGTTCATAACTTATATGTATATATTCTGGTATTAATTATTTTTTTTTACGTCTATGCCATACTTACACACGTTCCATCGATGTTAGCAGACCAGATGACTGTTGATGAGTAGTTGGGAAAATTCACGGATGAAGAAGAAAACACGCCGATCCTATACGTGAGATGGAAACGGCGCACCAATTTAATGTGTGCCGTAGAAACTGCACAAAAATCTATTAATGTATTATCTGCTCCTCGCTTGCAGCGACAAAGGAGTTGAAAAAGACACCAACTCGGAGTGACCTGTGACCCTCGATATGTACCTGTTAAGCAGCAGAAAGGGGAAAGCACAGCTTTCCGTTTAACGTGACGGGTGCTCCGGTTGTACACAGATGTGTATTTTTGCAGTGATCGATGAAACCACAGAAAATTCCTCACGTGGTCAAAAGTCGAGGCTAGAAAAACAATGTGGGCCGCTTGGGCATTGCAGCCAATAAGATTTCTACCTCTAAGACGTGAGACGGGCAGCACGTGGATTAATATTTGGGTATGATGCAACTGCACTCGATCAAGCCTTCCAGAAAAGGAGAACCGAAGTATGAAGATAGAATGTCACCGTAGCCTGCCACAATCCTTCTCGGGGATTCTATGCGTTATTTTTAGGAAAATTTTTAGTTTGCCAGGCTCTGGACTGCTAAGACAAGGATCAAATGTATAATGCTCAAATGGCCGCGGGGTTAGGACATATGTATAACATCGCGGTTTCCTTCATTGGATGTGTTCACACTATAAACTAATGCGTACACTTAATGAGTTCAATTCGGGTGTTTGAATCTAACTAACTCGCTACTGCGAGGGCATCGCCTTTTATTCATTCTTACATAGGTTCTTATCATCTAATTATATAATGCAGCGCTTGTAAGACGCTGCAGTCTGCGTTGGTCAATGCAGCTGAGGTTTATCTCAAATCTATGTTTGAAGCCTATGACCGCGCTAGTCACCTCCCGCGTGATCATATCTCTTGACACTTCGGCAATAGACCACTGCAACCGTACTTATCTGTAGTTGCCACTTATGCTGTCCCGTGACATGTTTATTGCAGCCCTTAAATAGAACATATTTATAGATTGTCTACTTATCATGTCTAAACACATGTTTAGACATTCTCCGGGGGGGAAAAATGTACGGCCAGTAGTCGTCTATCATTAATGCGTTCCAGCTCCAGCTGGTTTTGCTTCGCTAACAGGAAGTTGACAGATCTTGTTTAGCGATCTTTTTACTTCCCCATCGCTTGTTTTAACCGTGACTACCCGGACTTTATCATCATGTCCTTTAGTCGCACTAATGATTCTTCCCATTGGCCATCTTGCAGGGTGAGTGTTCTCATGTTTTATAAGAACCCGCTGTCCCTCCTTCAGATTTGGCTTTTCTTGGCGCCATTTGGTTCGCTTTTGTAATGACACCAGATACTCCTCTTTCTATTTCTTCCAAAAATCACCTCTGATGCGTTGAATCAGCTTCCATCTATCCAATTCCCAAAAGCGTTTCAGGTCCTTTCGATTTATTGATGTAGTGGCACTTATAATTTTTTGCTTTGCTGCTCGAGTTATATTTCCGTACACAATCCATCCAAATTTGGTTTTTGTCCCAAGATTCCATTCACGGTTTTTATTTTCTCCATCATAATCAGGGGAAATAGATCCACACCTATCACCATGTCAATTCTGCTTGGCTCGTTGAATCGTGGATCTGCTAGCCTGTAGCCCTTCCACTCTTTGTTGATATCAATATCAAACTTTTTGCTGGGAAGGGCTCTATGGAGTGTTGGTAAAACCAATGCTTCCGTTGATGCTTTGAAGCTGCTTGGAATTTTTGGTTTGATCGTCAGGTGGACACTATTTTTTGATAGTTGAGTAGTCTGGGAGATACCTTCGACCTCTATAGTACTCCTTACTCTGGGAATCCTTAATATTTGTGCTGCTTCCTCTGAAATCAGCGTCTTCTGGGATCCACCGTCAATAAGCGCCCTTAACTCGTTGTAACCACCAGCTTTGTTTTTCACTAAAACAACAGCTGTAGCCAATAGTGTGTCTTGGCCTTGCTTAAGGCTATTGCTGTTGATACTGCGTTTTGTGTCTTCATGCAGAAGGCTGTTGTGTCTTTTGGAGCATCGATTGCATGTAATTTCCTTTCTGCAGTCGATAGCATTATGCTTTCCAAAGCATCTAAAGCACATGCTGTTCTTTTGAACGAATTCTTTTCTTTTTTCGATTGATAGTGCTCTGAATTTGAGACACTTTATCATATCGTGGCCATCCTTAGAGCAAAAGGCACACGATCTAACTTGCACTTTTCTTGTAGCAAGCTGAGCGGTATTTTTGGTAATGGCGTTTACTGAGTTGTATTGTTGCTCAATAAACTCCAGTACATCTTGTAAGGACTGTATAGCTCTTGCCTTTTTTACATGCTGTTCATACAGCTGCAAGGCTTCTGGCGAAAATTTCCGCAGCAGAATTTCTGCTAAAATTACGTCAGCAGAGCTTCCTATTTTTCCTTTTTGCTTTATGATGAATATGCTCTCGGTCGCAGTATCCAAAAACTTCCCTAAATTTTTCTCATCATGGGGCAGCAAGCACTCCAATTCCATTAATTTGTTGAAGTGTTGGGAGAATATTTTTCTGCTATTCTCATAGCGTTTGCAGATAAGCTCCCACGCTGCTGCATAGCTAGCTGCTGATCCCGTTATCAAATGGCTAACCACCATTTGAGCTTCTCCTTTTAAGCAGGCTCTTAAATATCCCAGCTTCCTTGTGTTGCTGAGATCTTTCCTGCTGTCTATTAGTTCAGAGAACAGCTCGAAAAATGTTGGCCATTCCTTCGCATTTCCATTGAACGTTGGAAGGTCCACTTTTGGGAGTTCTGGCACGTCGCAGTTGGAACTTTTGAACTGTTCCAACTTCATTTGAAGTACCATCTCTAGTGCGGCAACTTCAGATTGCAGAATGTCTGCCTCATCTTGATCAAAGACAGTTCTGTCATACTTGTTTTCAAGCAGTTTCAGTGTGTCCGTCACGTTGGACCAATGACTTTTCATCATTGCCAGCTGCTTGACTAGTTCAATCTCACTTGAACTATCTAGGGTTTCGTAGATTAGGCTCATCTGTTGTCTCACCCTGTCCGCTCTTCTATCCACCAGTTGAACCAGATTATCAACTGGACTGGAGCTCCGAGCTGATGCGGTATCAGATAATTTTGATCCGCTTGGTATATTTATCTCTTCAAGTGTTTCTACCTTTAATTGCGACTCCTTGTAGGCCTTGACAGCATCCATAGTTTTAATAAATATTTTATCATTAAAATATTGATGACAACTCCCAATTTTACCAGCGCATTGTTGTTAGTAGTAAATCGAACTACCAATGCTTCTATTGCATCTATACCAGATGCCTTTTCCTTGATTGCTTGCAGTATTTTGTTCTGCAGCTCTCCTTGGTCTTGCATCAATTTCACAGATCTTTCCGACAACATGTTGGGAAAACAATCACTGTGACTTTTTTGTGCTTTCTGCTTATATTCTTTGGCGTGATCCGTTGGAGGATTTTTTGATTGGTCGCCCAGTTGACCTAGCTGTGCCTCGACTCACAGCTGATTGATCAGCCAAGGAAAAGCAAGAACACAATGTTTCACCTTATAGTCCTAGTACTTTAAGGCGTGGTCTTTTATTCTGTGTTTCTTACCACTGGTGGGGGAAACAACAGAATCACTCGAATAACCTTGCTCTTTTTACTTTGAAGTGCTGGTTTTTTTCTTCTTCTGTGTTTCTTACCACTGGTGGGGGAAAACAACAGAATTTCTCGAAGGACCAAAATGTAAAATTCAGAATTGCTGATGTATGGCCGCAACACACCTTACCACAATTTATAATGGTACACAAAGCAACCTTTAGCTATAGACTATAAGGTGCTTGTTTTATTTAAAAACATAAAAGATTCTTTTGTATCTTTTTGCTTTTTATATTTATACTCTGTTCCTTACCTTTGGTAGGGGGAAACAAGAGTCAATTATTTTTGCTACCTTTAGCTGCAAGA